CATCCACTACCCAATTGCTTCCTTTAATCTATTCACAATAGAAAAGAACATTTAGAGGTGTGGAAAAAAGTGACAATTCAAAAAAATCCTCTGCTTTTTCTCCTGGGACTATCACAGAATGTTCTGAAAACATGCACAGACACAGTGGATTAATCATGGCAGACTAATTACAGCACTGTGTCACCTGCTGCCTGTAGACCCAGGGAAAGTTGCTCATTAAAGAAGTACAGTTTCTGCTGCTTTTCGCAGAGTGCCACAGACGATGTTCACAGTGTTCATGTTTTGCATAGGGAAATTTCCACTATATAGGTGGGCACTAGAACAAAGGATATTCCAGAAAAGTAAAATGTTTTCCCTCATTGTAGAGAACTTTTTTTTTGTTTGCTTTGTTTGTAGACAGATTTTGCGAATGCCTCTTTCTACATGTTCTGTGGTTGCTTCAGAACTGATTCAGATATAACCTTATCTGTATTCCAGAGCCCTGGAAAGGGGAGGCTGATGTCCTTGCCACATAAGCTTTGGGTTAACCTCTGGGAAGTGTAGAATAGCACTAGGATTTGAGTAGGGTAAATGCTACACTAAGAAGTTTTGCATTTGTAATCAATACCCCTGAAAAGCAGTTACCCTTTCAAGGTCTTGAACACTGTTCAATTTTCAAAGCAAGGAAAAATTCAACAGTCATTCCTGAAATAGAGCAGATAGATAGGTGTCTTTGGGTAATGAATATCTGTCTTGAGGATCAAACACTATAAATTTTTGTCCAAGCTTTACTTTTTGCCATGTATTGAGTTTGAGTAAACAGCAGGTAATGCTGCTGGGGCAGTCACGGCACATTTTTTGGTTACTCATGCCACCTGAATTTTGAAAAGCAGATCAGTGATTGTCAGTGGTACAAGCTCAAATTTCTTCTCAGTGCTACATTTGACGTCTGAGGTTTGCCATCAGCATGTAGCGCTAATAATCCATTTCCCATGCTACACTGCAGTAAATTTTTGACAGGCTTGTATGGTAGAAAGCAATCAAATGTATACAAAGTAATTTAAAAAATAACAAGCCTTTAAAACTGTGGTCTGAAATATTACAGAAGGCTGAACTAATTTTTGTGGAAGTGTACAGTATGCTAGTACGTTAATGCCTTGCCTGTACATAGCCAGCCCTTTGGAGGAAGAACGGGAACTGAGAGATTGCTAGTTTCAAGCACTTAGTGTCTGTAAAAGAAGCGTGGAATCAGATATTTTCCAGATCGGGAGTTACCTGAGCAGAACATGATGTTTCTGTTCAGGACTGTGATCCTGGCAACACCTCTGTGGCCACATGCTGCTGTGTAGGATGCAGGACGCTGGCCTTGCGCCTTGGGGTTCAAGACATCTTGAGGGCCTGCACTTGAGCACTGGGCTCAAGATTAGTTGACTTCTCTTCCTTGTGCACACCATCTTATTTAAGACTTTATAATTCAAGAGCTATGTAGCATCTTCTGTGCATTTGTTCCACATTTCAGTTCACAGCAGGAGTTAGAAGGTAATAGCAGCAACTGAGGTGCTGGTCACAGAGGTGTCTCCAGAGAAAGCTGTGGGCAAGCCTCAATTTTCAACAGCTACTTGCCCCACTGTAAGTGAATCTGATTTGGTGGAGAGGGGATGATTAAGTTGCATTTTATGTCTCTTAGGTAAGCTCAGCATGACCCACATTAATGTCTCCATGGTGGAACTGTCATCAGATGGATCAAAACATTTGATAAGAAGAGTGTTTTCCTGTCAGATAGAGCTCTCTATTCCTCACGTTTTCTTTTCTTCTGTGCATAGCACTGATGGATGAACTGGCAAAGCAAGGCCTCCTTGGCAAGGGGCAGAGCAGCCTGCCTGCCACTGCTGGGTTGGACCCCTCCCTGTGTTTTCATGTGGCTCCTTACACCGAGACCTTGCTGCAGACGCTGGGTAGGTCAAAGCTATGGGAAATGCATTGTTCTGGCTTTTATAAGGTCTGACAACCTTATGAGGGGACTCTCCTGAATAAGAACATTAGGAATATAGTTCTTGTCTATTATAACTTGTTTAGTGTTCTGCTGTCCGTCATAGTAACTCTCATTGGACGTCTTCTGTTGCTGAGTAATGAATGGAAGAATCAATAGAAAAGCAACATGGAAATACCTTTTAAAAGTAAACGAAAAAATATGTGGAAAAAGAAATTATTTAAATGTTAAATGATAACAACTGATTAAGCCTTAAACCTACCATAATTAAAAGATCAATATCCAATCAATACATATTTATTGCCATAGTTTCAAGAGAAGTCAAAATATTAAAATGAGGTAAATTAGTGGTTAAGTGCAAAACTAGAATTTGCTGAAGTGATAAATGTTGGCAGCTGTAGTTCTTCCACAGGTGCAGAGAAGACACTTTTTCATTTCTTTAGAAATTTACATCTACTTAGATGCTTTAATTTCAGTTTCTACAGTTGAATTCACTTCAGTAACTCATTCATTCAAAGCTGGGAAACTGATAGGACTTGAAAAAGCAAGTAAATGTGTTTTCTGTTGTAAATCTATGACTCAAATGGGTAGGAGAGTCTTAAACCTACTAGTAGTTCTATACACTTGGAGGTCATGATATCAGATGTTTATTTCACGAACTACAGGTAGTGTTTTCTTATGTATTCAGCAGGTTACTATAGTTTTATTTAACTAATTAAATTATTTTAGGTTTTGGATATCAGGATTTTTAATTGAAGTATATTGCTCTCCAAAACCAAATTCATACTAAATTGTAAGGAAAAATAATAATCAAAGGCATGTCATTCAACATTTTCTAGCATTATGAAATGTTTAGATGTAGGAATAACTAAGTAAATAAATGTTGATCTGTACAATTGCTTAAATAATTGTGTAGTGAAACAGTATGGAATCAAACACAGATTTCTGATGGGCTGGGGATTCTGCAGGCTGTACTGTTCCTGATAGGACTTTGGATATATGCGTGGTATTATAACAGTCTCCAATTTAGGCCTCAATTTTATACTATGTAATCTCCTAGAAAGCAAAATGAAATTATCAATTTAATGTGAAGTCAGTCATTAGTTATCAATCTGAAATTGATGCCTTAAATCATTTTGGTATAGATCTATCAAGTCTGCTTAATGGTGTGAAGAAGGATATCAAAATTATGATTGAATATATTTGCTTTGCGTGGCAAAAAGTAATTCTAGTTAAGGAGTGTGACTAATTAGTAAGGGTTTGCTGTGATACTGTTCCTCATGCGTGATTCTTTTTCTGGCCATGCTGAGCTGCAGCGTGAGGAGCAGTACCACAGTGAGGCACTGGCCTTTGCTCAGTTGAGAATTAGTCAATTCCTTCACGCTAAAAAAGACTCTAGATTTCTTTTAGTGGAATAACAGGGTTTGTTTTGATGATCTCCCTGGGTAGGAGGAAACCTCAGTGCAGTGCCAGACCCTCGTAACATTCCTCTGGATCTTTTCTGCAATCGAACATATGCTTCTGATCCTGAAATGGAGCAAGTTGTCATGCTGACGGTGGTTGGAATGGACACTATGAAGAGTGCCGGAGAGCTCCTTCACCAGATCCTTCTTCCTGGGCACAATAATCAATCTCAGAGTGCAGGTGATCCCAGCTCTTGGGGAGGGCTGTAGAAGTTGGTCAGGAAAGTTTATCCTGTCTAGCTATTTTTATCATAGCGGAAACATTATGAAAAATGTGGTGAAAGGGGCCTCGGGAAGGAGGACAGGTTTCTTTGCTTACCTACCTAAAGAACTGAAGAATTTATCATGGCTAGATAGTCATGAGCAAGGCCACTTTTTATATTGCAAACAGCTCAGGTGGGCATAATTTTCTTCAGAGAGCGTTAAATTAGTTCAGAGATGTGCTTAGGCTTACTAAGCCTTCTATGTAATCCAGAGCATTGTGTCTCTCCCTAAGTACTGGGAGATAAAGCAGCTGTGTAATTGAGGCACAGCAACAGGAATTCAGAAGTCACAAACTCTATTCTGTCCACTGACATCCTCTGTGATCAGAAGCAAAACACTTCACGCTTCATTTCGTCATGCACACAGGAGGAATAACGGCACCGTCCCCCATGTTAAATGCTTACAAATGCATGAAGAGTGCTGTCAAGCGCTAAGCAGGATGATGATTTTATATAATTTCATTATACAGGTTGCATTGAAGTGTAATAATACAGGAAGCGTACCAACAAAGGGTAGAAGTCTGGCACCCTGTCTTACACTATATCATATCCTACTCTCTTGAAACAATACTATGGAGTAGTAAGTTCTGTATCACGGTAGGCGAGGAGGAGATTCTAGCTGACAGAAACTTCCAGCAACATGCACTCATGGATTGAGCCCCTAAATATCTTCCTACATTGGAAGCAAGACTACAAACACAACATTTAAACTACTTTAGAGACAAGTCAGCATTAAATTGTAGATTATTACTGTAATGAATATAGCTTAAAATGAAATGTTATGAGAGGTGGTAAAGGATCTATAATTATGGATTATACTGTCTCAAACCACATTGTTATTGGTGTATTCTCAGTGTTTCCCTTTCAACTCTTCTCCATTAGCTGTGTTCTCTAATCAAATCATGGCAGTTATTCTCTGTGACTCCCTGTTGATTTCCCAAGTAGCCCATTTTTTGTTTTCACTGTAATGTAATTTCCTAGCATTTGTGTCTTGTGGGTTTTCCCAGTATATTTCTATATCTGCATTACAGTCCATTTTGAATGCAACAGGGGGCGAAGTCAAAGCAGCTTTGGAACTTGTTGTCTCGTAAAAAAATCAATGTGAATTTAGAACACTTGTCTCCAAAAGAAAATACAGCTTCTCTGAAACACATGCTGTTGTCTGATGCCAAACAAATTTCTCTTGACTTGCAGAAGAGCCTGATTTGGGATTTGAGCTCCTAGGTCTCAAGTGGTTGCCCCATCTCACTCGATGTCAGGCCAGAGAAGTAACCCCTTTTGAGGTTGGCGATACGTCCTGGCAAAGAAGCCTTGATACACTAATGTCAAATCCAGTCCTTGTGTGTGCATTACGGCGGATCAATGCCTTCAAAGTTCTTGCAGATACGTTGAAGAGATTAACACAATGCAGGGAAAAGCTCAGCAAAAGTGACAGTCTACTACAGATGGTAATGGCCTTGACTCCAGAGGTGACATTCAGACAAGCCATCCTCTTCTTCACAGAGATGGATTTTGTAACTGGTAAGGCACATTTTTACTGTTTATAATGTCCTCAGGTATAAGGTGTTTGGGAATTTATTGAACTTGGAAAAAGGAATCTAGTGCTATGGGGGTTTCTCAGGCACAGAAAAACTTCATAATTTGGGGTTAAATTCTGTGCTTGGCTGAGTAATGATGAGGGATATGAAAGCCACAGGAGCCAGTTGAGGTCATCTACAAGTTGGCCTGTTATTTTAATGTGGCTGTGAATGACCTGGTGCCCTTTCTGAACATCTTGAGGTACTCCATAAATACTAAATAGATATTACAGCAGTTGGCAGGGCCAGTATTTAATACTATGTATTTTACCTCTGTATATAAAAGAAACTGAGAAACGTTGGCCAAGATCTATCCCACCTAAAAGTAGGTACCTAATTGCGGTGCCTAATTTGAGGCTAGATGCCCCGGCCTTGCCCTGTACGCAGGGAGATGAAGGTACAACCAATCTGCAAGCGCTAAAGAAAGCAGATTTCTTGAGAATTTCTTTTTTATCCTGGAAGAGACTGCACTGTTCACAAGGAACAGAGACCTTTGTTGTCGAAAGCTTCTCAGACTTCAGTGGTATATGCTAGCATTGATCTTTCGGCATAGTAAATTTGCTAGTTTCCTCCTGTAGCAAGAAATGTATAGCCATGCCTCTTTAAACTAAATCACTGTGCAGACTGTGCTGTTATTGATATTGGATGCCCTGGAGCCACAGAGTATGAGGTCCCGCTGTATTCTTCTAATGTGAAATACATTGGCATATCACCTCTGTTCTTGGGGAAGCCTGACTCCTCACACCTAAAGATAAACAGTTCTGAGCCTGATGATTTCTGATTATTCAGAAACGGAGAGAAATCAAAATTGTGGTAGCATCGCCTATCAATTGAGGAGGAGTGATGCAGCTCCATAAGTGCATTCATGCTTTGTAATTTATAGCTCTTCCTCTATCTTTCCATGGGGAAGAAAGGTCGACACAAACTTACGTGCTTGTGTCAAACACACAGTGCTTATGTAGTGTGGAGTAACAAATTTGCTTTACTGAACAGCAAGAAGAAAATGTGATGTTGTCTGGAAAAAGGTACTCATTTTAATCTCACAAAAAGTTAGATTTGACAGTGAACTATGTGGGGGTTTTGTGTGAAGCCTTCAAAACAGAAGGCATCAGACATCCCAAATTAGTTTATAAAACTAAAAATTCATGCATTGCTGCCCTTCATTAAAGTTATCTTGAGACCAAAAGGCAGGATAAGAGGAAAGCACACGTGTGAGATCAGTTTATTGAGGGCTGTTGTAATCACAGTGCCAGTCTTTCCCACCAAAGCCATTGTGAAGAACAAAGAAGCATAGTTGCAGCGTGACTTCAGCATCCTGCACTGTCCCTTTTATACGGTCATTACATTTTTTTTCCTCCTATTTTTGTTGTGGTGGGAAGAATGCAGAGGTCTTTGTGCTAGAGAACAGCTCTTCAATATTTTGCAGCTGGTCAAACATCTGCCATTTCCCCTGCTAAATAAAATTGCCTTCGTCACCCCCTGCCCCCCCAAACAGTGAAGGTCCCTCACCTATGAATTCATAAAAGCACATCTCCTTCCTTTTACAGATGCAGAACACCGCCCTGCTATGAAATACCTGCCACCGCCTGGCAAGAGGTCCAGGGCTGAAGGTAAGACCAGAAGTATGCACCCGTTGCCTCTTGGATAAAACCAAATAATTTTATACTCTTAAAATAGATTGAAGAAAACTGTACCTCCGTGTGCTCTGTCAGAGTCATTAAAATGGAAATAGTAAACCTTTAGTTAGACATCAGAATCCCAGGCAATTAGGAAAAAAAGGCCAGATGGTTCCACGTGGGACTGGGGGAAGGTGGTAGTATTGCCAGATCACTTTTCTTCTACACAGTTGTTCTGTGCACTCCTGAATGACCTATCTAGGGCTGGTGTGGAATGCAAAGCCAGCTCTTTAGTAGCCCTTTTCAGATGTAGATCTCAAAAAAGATGAGTTTCGTTATGTTTTGCAGAGGGGTAATTGAAGCATAGAGAGGTGAAATGTGTTGATCACCATGGCCCGACAAGTGAGTGACAGAAATCAGGGCAGAATGCACATTTCCTAAGTCTCAGACAAAGGCTCTGTCATTTGCGTTACAGTGCCACCCAAGTCATCACAGAATTCAAAGATCCTAGAAGTTCTTTCAAATAACCCAAATACTAAAGAAAAAAATTGGTACTGTGAAGATGTGAGCTAAAAAGTTATGAGGCAAGGACCTTGGAGCTGGTTCCGCTTTCTATATGTACTCTTATTATTCCAGCAAAATAAATGACAGACATGTGGAAAGAGAAAAAGCTCTCATTAAAAGAAAAAAATGCTTTGGCTAGATACCTTCCAGATGCATTGCCCTGGGAAATAAATACATGGATTTCAGACAGTAATAAATACAAAAGAATGGTAATATTGTTTTGACGAACAGATTTTAGGTCTCTGTTATGTACCTTGTGCATCACACTGGTTAAACTTGCCAATCACTGGAAAAGGGAGTCCTTTATCAGTCTGATGCAAGCTTCTCCTCATTGTGCCCCAGTCCTAGATAACTTCTCAATTCACATGTGCATTGAAGTGCCTTAAATTTTCCTCACCTCTCCAGGTCACTGCAGGTTTTGCATTAGACTGAAGGAAACATTTTTATATAGGCTTTTGTTGTAAGTTCTGACTCACCAGACTCCTTTTATATTGCTCTGCTTTTACAAAGAACCACTGAAGTGACTATTCCTGGCTGCTTGGGGAACGTCAGCGAGGTTTTATCAGCAGAGCTGAGGAAAGGACTGAACAACAGATCTGGGCTCAGTAGGTGTGTAGTCAGAATACACAGCCCTTTTTTGCTTCCAAGGGTACAAGAGAGGACATTAAACAAAACACCTGAGCTTCTGGGACTTACACCGGAAACAAGGCAGCTTCTAACTTGACTGTGAAATATTGGGAGCACAAAGGTAGCTTAAAACCACTGCTAGCCACTCCCTGAAATACACAGAAAAGGCCACCAAGAATCAACCTGATTTAGTACTTGCAGTCCTTTCCAGCATATGCTATTGGGTTTACCGGAGAAGTGGTAAGTACAACACATCCTAGGCTGTCCCGATAACATCTGAATGTCTGAAATCAAGCCATGCATGTCCCAGTATAACACTTTAAAATAACAGTGTGTCATATCAATGTTAACTGCATGATGTAGAGATGATGGCAACATTCTCAAATGATTGTCCCAGAACATGCATACTGCTGACTCAAATCTTTCCACTTTTCTTATTTAGCAGGAGAGAGCCAGGGGTGCCATGCAGAATCACTGTTTACCTACTTGCATACAGGTGAGAGAAGAGCAAATGGAAAAATGTGGTTTGAATAAGGAGTTCATGGAACTAACTCATCTAGGTGTACCAGCCAAAAATAAGCCAAAGGACTATACCAACCTTTTTCCTTAGGCTTGAATGCAGGCAGTGATATGCATTCTCTATTCTAAGCATGCCAGGATATCTGATATTTGCTTCTCTTGAGTTTACGCTTATTTTAAGCCACACACATATCTAAAGTATTGTATATAAATAGCATATAAACTAAACTATTTTTCACAGTTACACTATGAAATCAAAACCCATGTAATAATTTTTGGGGGCAAAAAAAGTCATTGGCTGTGAGGAAGGGACCTAAAAATATTACAAAGCAGAAAAACACGACAAAGATTGTGCAACTTGGGCAAAACTGAAAAGGCCACTAAACAGCCAGAACAAGAGATGGAAATCAGGCATGATTAAGGGCTGCCAAACAGGTGCCTCTGGTAATTCATGATCAATAGAGACTGTTCCATTGATAGACAGAGATATTTTCTCTGAACTGTTGTCACTTGTAATCACAGTGGAGAGAAAAACAAATCTAGGTGGCAAGGTGTCCCACCTGTTTTCAACACTTGTCTTTGACCAAAACCAAGATGGCAAAGTGATGTAAGACACATCCCTCCTGAAGTGTCTAAAGTACGTAAATATGCAATGTGCAGTGATTCACATAGCACAAGAATGAGAATATTTGCCCAGAAATATAGCAGATGGTGAGTAAAACATCTGGAGGACAATGAATGCTTATGTAACAGTATACAGTCGAGATTGCCGTTCCGTATGCGAGCGGCTTGCTTCTGCACTTGCAGGCTGTTGCTATGGCATTTAAACCTTTCTGTTCAAAAAAGATGTGAAGAAAATAGCAGACTTTTAATAGGAGTGCTCCCTGCACGATAAGGGTTAAGTTGGGGGGGGGGGGAGAAATATT